ATGTCAAAAATAACCACAACAGATATGAATAACTTACCCAAGCTGTCCATACAAACATAATTCAATCAATCTATTGGAAAACAGGTCTAAAGACAGCTACAGATTGTGAGAAACGTTTTCTTTCTCTGTTATCTTGTAATCCCTGCCCTTATGAAAAAAGATTGCAGTCAGAGTGCAGTATAACTGCATTAATTTTGCAGTGTAACTGCAGTTACAGTGCATTATAACCACAGACAGGTAGAAGAAGGAGCCAGATGTCTCACAGGATGTATAAATCTGATTAGAACTTTCAAATATGGTGATGAGAGGAAGTCCAGTGGCAGGAAGTGGGATAATAATAATTTGGTGGGTGCTTATTTGTCTGATTTCACACATGTACAAGTGTGTGTAAATTGGAAATGTTTTTTTTGCATATCCCTCGGAGAGTTGGGTCACTGCCAGGGTCTGCCATTATCAACGGCAACCGTGGAGCAAATAGGGTTATGTGCCTTGCTCGAAGGCAGATCGGGGATTCGAATTAGCGACCTTTCGGTTACTGGCCCAACACGCTAACAGCTAGGCTACCTGCCACCCACATAAGAGAGAAGATGGAGCTAGATTTTACTAAGTTACAGTTCATATAAGGAAATCAGTCAATTAAAATAAATAAATTAGGCCCTAATCTATTTATTTCACATGACTGGGAATACAGATCTGCATCTGTTGGTCACAGATATCTTAAAAAAAAAAAAAGCTGTGAAATACACAGCAGGCCTGTGACTCATTGTTCCCTCTAACCAACGTCTCCAACGAACCAGTTTCCCTGTTCTGTGTATCTACACAGGTTAGACAAACCCTCGGTTACATGCTGCTTTTACTTATTTATTGAAGAGTCAGTCAAACAATGACATAGGCCTATTCAATACCGGAGCAAAACATTTGCATCAGGGTGTAACTCCTCTGAATGTGTCATCAGACCAAACAAAATATTGATGGTACACTATATATACAAAAGTATATGGACACCCCTTCAAATTAGTGGATTTGGCTGTTTCAGCCACACCCGTTGCTGACAGGTGTATAAAATCGAGCACACAGCCATGCAATCTCCATAGACAAATATTTGCAGTAGAATGGCGTTACTGAAGAGCTCAATGACTTTCAACGTGGCACCGTCATAGGATGCCACCTTTCCAACAAGTCAGTTCGTCAAATTTCTGCCCTGCTAGAGCTGCCCCAGTCAATTGTAAGTGCTGTTATTGTGAAGTGGAAACGTCTAGGAGCAAAAACGGCTCAGCCACAAAGTGGTAGGCCACAAGCTCACAGAACAGGACCGCAGAGAGCTGAAGCGCGTAGCGTGTAAAAATCGTATGTCCTCGATTGCAACACTCACTACCGAGTTCCAAACTGCCTCTGGAAGCAATGTCAGCACAAGAACTGTTCGTCGGGAGCTTCATGAAATGGGTTTCCATGGCGGAGCAGCCGCACACAAGCCTAAGATCACCATGCGCAATGCCAAGCGTTGGCTGGAGTGGTGTAAAGCTCACCGCCATTGGACTCTGGAGCAGTGGAAACGCTTTCACTGGAGTGACGAGTCACGCTTCACCATCTGGCAGTCCGACGGACAAATCTGGGTTTGGCAGATGCCAGCAGAACGCTACCTGCCCGAATGCATAGTGCCAACTGTAAAGTTTGGTGGAGGAATAATGGTCTGGGGCTGTTTTTCATGGTTTGGGCTAGGCCCCTTAGTTCCAGTGAAGGGAAATCTTAACACTATAGCATACAATGACACTCTAGACGATTCTGTGCTTCTAACTTTGTGGCAACAGTTTGGGGAAGGCCCTTTCCTGTTTCAGCATGACAATGCCCCTGTGCACAAAGCGAGGTCCATACAGAAATAGTTTGTCGAGATCGGTGTGGAAGAACTTCACTGGCCTGCACAGAGCCCTGACTTCAACCCCATCAAACACCTTTAGGATGAATTTGAACGCCGACTGCAGCAATGTTCCAACATTAGTGGAATGTCTTCCCAGAAGAGTGGAGGCTGTTCTAGCAGCAAAGGGGGGACCAACTTCATATTAATGCCCATGATTTTGGAATGAGATGTTTGACGAGCAGGTGTCCACATACTTTTGGTCATATATTGTAGATGGGCAAACAACACTAAAATACAGTACAGTACAGTAAGGAATAAAGTGGAATTAACCTAAACTTATTTTCCAAATACTCAACGCACTTGACATTGTAAGGAGGGAACTCATCTCATTCATTCCCAATGTGTAGATATTCAGCCAAGTTCTGTCTTCATTTACATTTTTGCCCATTGCCAAACACTCTTTGCTGGATCACACACTCGCACACAACTACCCTGTTCTCCCTATCTGTGTCTTCAGCAGTGCTAGGGCCTTTCCTGGTCAGCTCGGTCAGCCCAGGGCCTGCATCCTAATGCTGAGTGACACAGTGGCAGCAGCATTGCATCCCAGCCTGGGTTGACCCTGTCCCTGGGACACAGACTGAGGAGCCAAGTCACCTGCCCAGAGAATTGGTTCTGTCAGAGTAGGCCAAAGACAGACCCCTTTTTTCTTTCGACAACAGGGCCTTCAGCTTTGAGATGTGCATATTGTTTTGCTTGGAGTTCAAAGGCTGTCATGACGAGGAATAGCTGTAGCTCCCCTACTTCCTTTTAAGTGACATCATACCGTTTCTAAACCCAGAGACGCAACATCGCAAGACTTCCAGGAATGCTTGCAAAGCAGTCCTGGCCGGGTTTGGGGTTTGAGAAGTCAATGAGAGAAGTTACATTTTTTCCTTAGTTAATTTTCTCAATCTAAAGGCACAACCTAGATTCGAGCCAATGTCTTAAGTATTTGAACATGTTATTACTCCAACCTCATGAACGTGACAAACTGACATGTTTTATTTTTGTCCAAAACTACTTTATATCGAAGGAGTGCCTTTGATTTGACGGCCTGCACATGCGCAATTCGGTGCGAGACGACCGTTAGACACGATTTACGTGTTTCTGCGCATGAGCTTAGCTAGCTAACATTGCCATGACATCGCTTACAACTGTAATCAGGGATTTCTATTGGAGAAGCAGTTTCTGCCAATCTTCATACTGTACTGTTTTTTGGTGACATCATGCATACACTTCCTCAACCACAAGGTCATCTACATGTTCAACCGTGAGATTTCTGCCACGAGTTACAAATATATTTGTGAAGTAAGCTAAGTAGTCCTATGCCACAACAGTGTTAAGAGCCTGGGGTCAGTGGAATGTCAGCACTGATGAGGGTGACAGGAACCCAGCAACTGCACACACTTGGTATGGTTGAAAAATGCAACCCCAACCCCTCGAGTAAGGCATTTTATTTTCAGATCTCATTATAGTATTTGAATAGTGTATTTCAAAATATACTCTTTTGCACAACACAATTAAAGACCACTTGGTTATGTCAGTCAACTGCAAAATAGAGAGCACACTAATTGCCTTCAACGTAACATGTGGCCACTGCATTGACAGTCAGTTGACAGACACTCATTCAACACCTGGCTGTGGTGGCAGTCTGCTGGCCTTAGGCTGGTGAGAGGAGGAGGAGGCCTGCACAGGGCTGGGCTGTCCTGCCTTGGCCGCTGGAGTCATGTTTCCCCCTCTGGCTGCCTGGCTCTGTCACACAGAAATGAGAGCTGGGAGAAGGGGAGAGAGAGATATATAAAGGGAGAGAGAGGCAGTGCCATTCCTGGCCCTGCTCGAGCTGGTGCCCCTGGGGGCCCTGTGAAAAGCGAGCCTGCCATTAGAAAAGGGGGCCCATGCAGAGGTAGAGTCATACAGTACTCCTTCCAACAGTCAGCCTAATCATGATCGTGTACTTACATGTTCCAAGCCTGGGGTGATATCCTACTAAGAGAACAGGGCTCCATTGATAGGCAGCCTGTTTCAGCTTTTGTTTATTTCAGAAATAGGCAAACGTTGGGCTAGTTTAGCATATTTCCAGATATTCCTAGACTGGATCAGGTTGAATGCAAAGCACTTGCAAATCCAATGATTTCCCTACATGGATAAATTGCTAATTTAGCCTACTTCCATGGGAATTAGCCCCACCAGTAATATGTCAGAAAGGTTTAAATAATGATTGGTGCCTTGGTCCACAGCTAATTCAGGCCTCTCTTGTCCCAGTGAACCTTGTAGTAGGGCTATTACAGATGTGTGCAGCATTGCTGCATTCTTTTCTTTTTGCAGTACTAAAGGTCTGGGTTTTGACAGGCCCTCTCCTCATCGTGTCAAGTTGGTTGGCAGCTTGTAATTAGGCTAATTGCATTTGTGAAGTGGACCGCCGTTGACAGTGGTTCTGGTGTAGAGTGTACTAGAGTGACTATTTCTCCTCCCCCACACTAAAAGGGTTCTGTTAAATGAGGCAGGACCCTGGTGTGTGGGTAGGATCATCTAAAGCACCTCTATCACATTCTAGTCTACAAAACATGTGCGTGCGCGGCGCACTGCTGTTCTCAAGGGCACATTCCTCTTTTCATTCACACTCTGTAGAGCAGCCAGGAGAGAGGCAATCTGAGCGAGACAATCTGAGAGCGAGACAATCTGAGACAGGGAAAAGAGAGACAATCTGAGTGCGAGGGAGAGCGAGCTTGGGGACTGGTAGAAGGGTGTCGTCAGACAGAAAAGGTGGTGCATTGGGAGAAGAACAGAATGATTAGTTCTGTGACGGTTTATGCTGCTTTAGCTGACCTGGTTTACTTTGCCCTGATTCCAGCCTCCCTCCACAGGGTGTGTTCTCTCTGTCTGGCTTCGCCACACATGTTTGTAGGTCACCATCCAAGAAAGATGGGTCAAGGTAGGTTACAAGGTAGATGCTGAGCCTAGCAGTTCTGCTCTAGATCCTGTTTTTCCTGTGCCAGCCTCTCTTCCTCCTCCTGTCTGCCTGTCTGACTGAAACAGCAACACATCCTCCCAGTTATGTACCTGTTACTAGGTGAATCATAAAAGCAGCTGCCGCTTGTTTCCACAGGGTTCTCAGGAGAGCCTCACTTCAGAGAAACATGGAACTGAGCAGCCAGGAGAGGAGAGGCTTGGTGGGTTGCAGCCAGGAGAGGAGAGGCTTGGTGGGGTACAACTAGGAGAGGAGAGGAGAGGCTTGGTGGGTTGCAGCCAGGATAGGAGAGGCTTGGTGGGGTACAACTAGGAGAGGAGAGGCTTGGTGGGGTACAACTAGGAGAGGAGAGGCTTGGTGGGGTGCAGCCAGGAGAGGAGAGGCTGGGTGGGGTGCAGCCAGGAGAAGAGAGGCTTGGTGTAGTGTGCTTTGAGGAGCTAGGTTCAGGGGCGTGTGTGTGGCATGGGCTTAATAAGTGATATTAGAGACCGTCAAGCCTCAGGCATGGAGGGGATATTTGAGTCTGTTTGTGTAGAGTTCAGAATTATGCAGGGAAATGGAGCTAATGTCCCTATTCTGAACCTCTTGTTTGTCACCTCCTTGGGATGTAGGGGCCAGTATGAAAAATGTATGCACTCACTAACTGTAAGTCGCTCTGGATAAGAGCATCTGCTAAATGACTAAAATGTGAATGTAAAATGTACTTGATGAGGTAGGCAGTAGCCAGGGTGCAGCAGAGGAAATGAGCAAGGCCAGCTTTTTAAGCCCAGTCACACTCCACTGCCCTCCCTCTCTCCTCTCATCCCTCTGGGCTTGGTGTCAGTTTTGCAGACAGGTCAGGGTTTTCAGCTCTCTGCTGCCATGGAAAGTTTCCCTCCCTCCCTGCCTGTGAGTGCAGCCTGCCTGCCTGCCATGGGTGTTGTGAATGTCATGCAGTGCCCAGTCAGTGCTCTCTATGGAGGATATACCCTACTTTCCACCTCTTTGTTTTCTGTTTCCCTAATCTCTCTCTATTACCCATTTCAGACAAGATGTGGTAGCATATATTACCTGCAAAAATCTAAGGCAATGTTTATAAACTCAGCAAAAAAAAGACACATCCCTTTTTCAGGACCCTGTCTTTCAAAGATAATTCGTAAAAATCCAAATAACTTCACAGATAAAGGGTTTAAACACTGTTTCCCATGCTTGTTCAATTAACCATAAACAATTAATGAACATGCACCTGTGGAACGGTCGTTAAGACACTAACAGCTTACAGACGGTAGGACAATAAAGGTCACAGTTATGAAAACTTAGGACACTAAAGAGGCCTTTCTACTGACTCTGAAAAAGACCAAAAGAAAGATGCCCAGGGTGTGTGAACGTGCCTTAGGCATGCTACAAGGAGGCATGAGGACTGCAGATGTGGCCAGGGCAATAAATTGCAATGTTTGTACTGTGAGACTCCTAAGACAGCGCTACAGGGAGACAGGACGGACAGCTGATCGTCCTCGCAGTGGCAGACCACGTGTAACAACACCTGCACAGGATCGGTACATCCGAACATCACACCTGCGGGACAGGTACAGGATGGCAACAACAACTGCCCGAGTTACACCAGGAACGCACAATCCCTCCATCAGTGCTCAGACTGTCCGCAATAGGCTGAGAGAGGCCTGACTGAGGGCTTGTAGGCCTGTTGTAAGGCAGGTCCTCACCAGACATCACCGGCAACAACATTGCCTATGGGCACAAACCCACCGTTGCTGGACCAGACAGGACTGGCAAAAAGTGCTCTTCACTGACGATTCGCGGTTTTGTCTCATCAGGGGTGATGGTCGGATTCGAAGGAATGAGCGTTACACCGAGGCCTGTACTCTGGAGCGGGATCGATTTGGAGGTGGAGGGTCCGTCATAGTCTGGGGCGGTGTGGCACAGCATCATCGGACTGAGCTTGTTGTCATTGCAGGCAATCTCAACGCTGTGCGTTACAGGGAAGACATCCTCCTCCCTCATGTGGTACCCTTCCTGCAGGCTCATCCTGACATGACCAGCCATACTGCTCGTTCTGTGTGTGATTTCCTGCAAGACCGGAATGTCAGTGTTCTGCCATGGCCAGCGAAGAGCCCGGATCTCAATCCCATTGAGCACGTCTGGGACCTGTTGGATCGGAGGGTGAGGGCTAGTGCCATTCCCCCCCAGAAATGTCCGGGAACTTGCAGGTGCCTTGGTGGAAGAGTGGGGTAACATCTCACAGCAAGAACTGGCAAATCTGGTGCAGTCCATGAGGAGGAGATGCACTGCAGTACTTAATGCAGCTGGTGGCCACACCAGATACTAACTGTTACTTTTGATTTTGACCCCCCCCCCCCCCCCTCCCCTTTGTTCAGGGACACATTATTCAATTTCTATTAGTCACATGTCTGTGGAACTTGTTCAGTTTATGTCTCAGTTGTTGAATCTTGTTATGTTCATACAAATATTTACACATGTTAAGTTTGCTGAAAATAAACGTAGTTGACAGTGAGATGACGTTTCTTTTTTTGCTGAGTTTTAAATTTTTTACATCAGTGGGTAGCTGGCAAATTGGGTGGGGGGGATGTTAAACAGTGGAAGTGTTAATGAATTTAGGCTACCTGCAAGAAAACAGAGAAACATTCACATAGACTGATACCTGTATTTTGGTTACAGGGTCTGTGAAAATGCAGGAATTAAAACTTGGTCTTTAGGTGGCTTTTAATTTACCATGTGTTTTACCCCCTAACCCTTTCAGATATACCAAAAAGATGGTATAAAACAGCATGCATGATACATTTGTGGGATTTTTGTCTGTCAATGAAAGACCAAGACTAATTTACATTTAAGTCATTTAGCAGACGCTCTTATCCAGGGCGACTTACAAATTGGTGCATTCAACTTAGGATAGCCAGTGGGACAACCACATCTTGATCACTGTAAGTACACTTCTTCAAACAAGCAGCTGTGAGCAAAATCAGTGCAATCAGGGACAACTACATCTCGATCACAATAAGTACATTTATTTAAACAAGTCAGTGCTAGCAGGTGAAATAAGTCAGGTGTTAGTTTAGACAAAAGACAGTGGTAATAAAGGGGGGGATAGAAGGATTACTATTATACTATTCCAGGTATTCCTTAAAGAGGTAGGGTTTCGAGTGTCTCCGGAAGGTGGTCAGTGACTCCACTGTCCTGGCATCGTGGGGGAGCTTGTTCCACCATTGGGGTGCCAGAGCAGCGAATAGCTTTGACTGGGCTGAGCGGGAACTGTGCTTCCGTAGAGGTGGGGGGGTTCAGCTTGAGGTGGTGATCCGACATCCACACTGATATGTCTGCCAGACATGCAGAGATGTGATTCGCCACCTGGTTATCAGAAGGCGGGAAAGGAGAAAATTAATTGTGTCGTCTGCGTAGCAATGATAGGAGAGACCATGTGAGGATATGACAGAGCCAAGTGACTTGGTGTATAGAGAGAATAGGAGAGGGCCTAGAACTGAGCCCTGGGGGACACCAGTAGTGAGAGCACGTGGTGCGGAGACAGATTCTCGCCACGCCACCTGGTAAGAGCGACCTGTCAGGTAGGACGCAATCCATGAGTGAGCAGCGCCGGAGATGCCCAACTCGGAGAGGGTGGAGAGGAGGATCTGATGGTTCACAGTATCAAAGGCAGCAGATAGGTCTAGAAGGATAAGCGCAGAGGAGAGAGAGTTAGCTTTGGCAGTGCGGAGAGCCTCCGTGACACAGAGAAGAGCAGTCTCAGTTGAATGACCAGTCTTGAAACCTGACTGGTTAGGATCAAGAAGGTAATTCTGAGAGAGCAGGAGAATTGGCTAGAGACGGCACGCTCAAGAGTTTTGGAGAGAAAAGAAAGAAGGGATACTGGTCTGTAGTTGTTGACATCGGAGGGACCGAGTGTAGGTTTTTTGAGGAGGGGTGCAACTCTTGCTCTCTTGAAGACGGAAGGGACATAGCCAGCGGTCAAGGATGAGTTGATGAGCGAGGTGAGGTAAGGAAGAAGGTCTCTGGAAATGGTCTGGAGAAGAGAGGAGGGGATAGGGTCAAGCGGGCAGGTTGTTGGGCGGCCGGCCGTTACAAGTCGCAAGATGTCATCTGGAGAGAGAGGGGAGAAGGAAGTCAAAGCATAGGGTAGGGCAGTGTGAGCAGGACGAGCGGTATCATTTGACTTAATAAATGAGGATCGGATGTCGTCAACCTTCTTTTCAAAATGGTTGACGAAGTCATCCACAGAGAGGGAGGAGGGAGGGGGAGGAGGATTCAGCAGGGAGGAGAAGGTGGCAAAGAGCTTCCTAGGGTTAGAGGCAGAGGCTTGAAATTTAGAGTGGTAGAAAGTGGCTTTAGCAGCAGAAACAGAGGAAGAAAAAGTAGAGAGGAGAGAGTGAAAAGATGACAGCCCGGAGCCCTGTTCTGTGCGCTCGCAATGAGTCGTCAAGCCACGGAGCAGGATGGGAGGACCGAGCCGGCCGGGAGGATAGGTGACATAGAGAGTCAAAAGATGCAGAAAGGGAGGAGAGGAGGGTCGAGGAGGCAGAATCAGGAGACCGGAGGGAGAAGGATTTAGCAGAGGGAAGAGATGATAGGATGGAAGAGGAGAGAGAGAGCGAAGGTTGCGACGGCGCATTACCATCTAAGTAGTGTTGGAGGAGAGCGAGAGAGAAAAGTATACAAAGTAGTGGTCGGAGACTTGGAGGGGAGTTGCAGTGAGATTAGTAGAAGAACAGCATCTAGTAAAGATGAGGTCAAGCGTATTGCCTGCCTTGTGAGTAGAGGGGGACGGTGAGAGGGTGAGGTCAAAAGAGGAAAGGAGTGGAAAGAAGGAGGCAGAGAGAAATGAGTCAAAGGCAGACGTCGGCAGGTTAAAGTCACCCAGAACTGTGAGGGGTGAGCCATCCTCAGGAAAGGAACTTATCAAGGCGTCAAGCTCATTGATGAACTCTCCAAGGGAACAGAATCAAGCAGGATCCTTGACTCCCGCCTTGATCAGCCATTTTCTATGTTTTATTTAACTCATGCAAAGAAAGAGAACCCTGAGTTATGTTAATCTAGTGTGTTGTGATGGCATTGTATGCTGTTTTTTAACTTGTGTGGGTCTTTGTTCCATTCCTATGGTCAGGCAGCAAGTAGGCTATTTTGGTATGAGTGTGTTCTATGGAGATCCATGTCGTGGCTCTACGTGGGCAGGGAAGTGTTAAAGGCCCTCTATAAGCCGCATGGTGACATGTAATACCATTACCTTCTTACAGGATCCCTGTTCCTGCTTTAATAAGCTGCTTGCTTGAATATTGCACTCAGAGCTCACCTTACAGGGCTTAAATGTCCCTCTGCGTTTCCACTGGCCTTGGCTCCCTCACTGCTGCTATGCTAGCTGGAGCTAGGCTGGTATGTAAGCTGCAAGGCTATTGTCCCTGTGTTTTGTTGCCCGTCTCTCTCTCTGTCTGTATGTGGAGTGTTGGCGTGAACCCCAGTCATTCTGGACCTGAGCCAGTTCGGAGGCATGGCCCCAGACTTTTACAAGCGAACAGGATTCTGTTAGGCCTATGTCAGGCTTTCCATTCTGGGCTTGTTGTTGTATGGGCCTGGTAGATATGGCCTGGTAGATATGGCAACCTCCCCCTGTTCAATTTACTAGTCACTAATGGCTCGTACAATGCAATCAGCATTGCGAAGGCTTGTGTGGAGTTTGTGCACAACCCCCCACCCCTTACATGTTCCGCCCCTCCCTCTTGGAAAACTAGGTTTTTATCTCAAGAGACAAACCTGGTTAAATCACGTTAGTTTATGTGTGTGAGAGGAAGCAAACAACCCCCCGCTGGCTAAGCCTGAGCCTCAGAGGAATGGGAGGGGTACCATGCTTTATTATTTGGCGTGTGTGTGCCAATCACTATGGGCTTTGTGTCGAAAATCGAGTATGCTTTAAATGTCCGGATGTCATACTCATTTCGGCTTTGACAACAGCTGATCAATTAGATAAGGGGATGCGCTACCAAAATCAACGAATAGCGGGAAACAATGCAATCACACAACTCATTCTCAGTATGCGAAAATCAAATGTTTAATAGTATGCGGCACTTCGAAAATCGAGTATGGTTTAAATACCAGGATGTTATACTCATTTCGGCTTTCCATCTAGTAGAATTCGATGCACACTTCCACAATGCATTGGAAGAGGTGGTCTGCGAGTGATGGGCCCTAGCTCTCTTCAAGTAGCCAAACAACAAAACTAGGCTACTTAATTGGGAAAATGCCGAATAGCAAACCTGCGGTGGTTTTCAAATGTAGGCTAGAGACGGGATCTGTAGCCCTCAGATTCAATAGTGTGCAACTGCAGCCTACAATTCGGGGCGTTCCTGCATATGGGCATTACATTGGTTCTTTCATGAACACCGCCCCCTCGAGCACCCCATTGGTTGCTACATGAACGCACCCTTTCGAGCATGACATCTTCATGCTTGTGTGACACTTTTGAATGTGGGTCAAAAGGGAAATAAAAATATTGAGTTTTTTCGCCCCCGCCTGCTGTGGACTGGAATCTTCTTTGCTAGCTAGAGGGAGTGACACCAGTAGACAATGTCCTTTGCTCCCGCCTGCCGAACACAGTCGTTAACAGAACTGCGGGGAAACAGTGCCCGACAGGCAGAAGGACACTGTCTACCGGTCACCCCCGCCTCTCGCTAGTCTGGGAGGCTGGAGCGACACCGTCTGCTAGCGAAATAGCTTGCTAACTTAATAGCACACGGTGTCACCCCCACCTGCTGTGTACCTGAAAAAAACATGCCCGACAGGTGGGGGCAAAGGAGACTGTCTACCTGTCGCCCCCACCTCCCGCTAGCACAGCATGCGGGAGGCTGGGGCGACACTGTGTGCTAACTAGCTGGCTAAGCTAGCACAGAGTGTCCTTCGCTCCCGACTGCCGAACACTTGCCCTCACCGTCGTTAACAGAACTGCGGGAAAACAGTGTGACAGGTGGGGATGAAGGACACTACCGGTGTGTACTAGCTATAGCTAGCTACTGTTGTCGTCCCCACCTCTTCTTCTTCTGTAGGGTTTATTGGCGGTTGGCATCCAACGTTATGGTGCATTACCGCCATCTACTGTACTGGAGCGCCCCTGCCTCCCGCCTATGTACTGGAGTCATAGCTTAAAAATATACCAATAGAAGTATATAGAGGGGTTCCTGCGGATGCCCACATGCAGGAACGCCCCGAATTGCGGGCTGCAGTTGCACCCTTCTCCTCAGATTGCGTCTCTGACCCACTCACATTAAAATGAGCGTTGGTGACGGCCGCGCGCCCTGAGTAGGTAACGATAGGGGGATTTTGTCTCCGATTTCAAAAACTTGTCTGGGAATGGGACAGCTAAAATCGTGTAGTGTACACCCGGCTTAGTAGTTTTTGTTCTCCTTAAAATGATCACGAGTATTGCAAAAGTGTTTCTTGTTCACTTGGCCTTCGTCAGAGCTTTAAGAAACTAAATTAACCATCTTTTGATTTCTGAATGTGTCAGCACAGGGGACTCGGGATGTGGCTACGTTATTGATGTCATATTAATCAGGCCTTTTGATTTGAACATATGGATTGTTTTAGTTTTGTAGGCTACCTATTTAATTTATGGATCAAGCCTTAGCAGTCATTCTGATCTCGTTCCCAATTATCAGTGCTTTAGTTTATTATGTTACTTTCCATCGGTCCTGAATTTACGATGCACCCGACTGTCCACGTTTTTCTGTGCAATAGCCTTTTGATTTTAACATTTTGTAAAGCTTTGGTGTGTATTCTAGGCTGTTTGATTTAATTTCTATATGTTACAGCACTAATAAATATGTTGAAATGGAACCACATGACCTGTTTCTGATAGATGGGCTATATGGTCTACTACAGTATACAGTCCATTCAGAAAGTATTCAGACCCCTTGACTGTTTCCACATTTTATTACGTTACAGCCTTATTCTAAAATTGATTAAATAGTTTTCCCCCCTCATCAATCTACACACAATACCCCATAATGACAAATTATCATTTATAAAAAACAGAAATATCACATTTACTTAAGTATTCAGACTTACTCAGTACTTTGTTGAAGCACCTTTGCGATTACAGCCTCGAGTCTTCTTGGGTAGGACGCTACAAGCTTGGGATACCTGTATTGGAGAGTTTCTCCCATTCTTCTCTGCAGATCCTCTCAAGCTCTGTAAAGTTGGATGGGGAGCGTTGCTGCACAGCTATTTTCAGGTCTTTCCAGAGATGTTCGATCGGGTTCAAGTCCAGGCTCTGGCTGGGCCACTCAAGGACATTCAGAGACTTGTCCCGAAGCCACTCCTGCATTGTCTTGGCTGTGTGCTTAGGGTCATTGTCCTGTTGGAAGGTGAACCTTCGCACCAGTCTGAGGTCCTGAGCGCTCTGGAGCAGGTTTTCATCAAGGATCTCTCCGTAATTTTGCCCCGTTCATATTTCCCTCAATCCTGACTAGTCTCCCAGTCCCTGCAGCTGAAAAAAATCCCCACAGCATGATGCTGCCACCACCATGCTTCACCGTAGGGATGGTGCCAGGTTTCCTCAAGACGTGATGCTTGGCATTCAGGCCAAAGAGTTCAATCTTGGTTTCATCAGACCAGAGAATCTTGTTTCTCATGGTCTGAGAGTCCTTTATGTGGCTTTTGGAAAACTCCAAGCGGGCTGTCATGTGCCTTTTACTGAGGAGTGGCTTCCGTCTGGCCACTCTACCATAAAGGCCTGATTGGTGGAGGGCTGCAGAGATGGTTGTCCTTCTGGAAGGTTCTCCCTTCTCCACAGAGGAACTCTGGAGCTCTGTCAGAGTGACCACCGGGTTCTGACCAAGGCCCTTCTCCCCCGATTGCTCAGTTTGGCCGGAAAACCAGCTCTAGGAAGAATCTGGCTGGTTCCAAACTTCTTCCATTTAAGAATGATGGAGGCCACTGTGTTCTTGGGGACCTTCAATGCTGCAGAAATGTTTTGGTAACCTTCCCTAGATCTGTGCCTAGACACAATCCTGTCTCAGAGCTCTACGAACAATTCCTTCGACCTCATGGCTTGGTTTTTGCTCTGACATGCACTGTCAACTGTGGGACCTTATATAAACAGGTGTGTGCCTTATCCAAATCATGTCCAATCAAGTTGTAGACTTGATTGGTGGACTCCAATCAAGTTGTAGAAACATCTCAAGGATGATCAATGGAAACAGGATGCACCTGAGCTCAATTTTGAGTCTCATAGTGAAGGGTCTGAATACTAATGTAAAAAAGGTATTTATGCAACAACAACAAAAAATATATGATTTGAAAAAAGTTCTAAAAACCTCTTCTCGCTTTGTCATTATGGGCTTTTGTGTGTAGAATGCTGAGATTTTTATTTATTTAATCAATTTTAGAATAAGGCCGTAACATAACAAAATGTGGAAAAAGTCAAGGGGTCTGAATACTTTCCGAAGGTCTTGGTCAAAAGTTTTGAGAAGTATTGGTCTTCACAAAGTTTGCTGCTTCAGTGTTATGAGATATTTTGTCAGATGTTACTATGGTATACTGAAGTATAATTACAAGCATTCCATAAGTGTCAAAGGCTTTTATTGACAATTACATTAAGTTTATGCAAAGATTCAATATTTGCAGTGTTGACCCTTCTTTTTCAAGACCTCTGCAATCTGCCCAGGCATGCTGTCAATTAACTTATGGGCCACATCCTGACTGATGGCAGCCCATTCTTTCATAATCAATGCTTGGAGTTTGTCAGAATTTGTGGGTTTTTGTTTGTCCACCCGCCTCTTGAGGATCGACCACAAGTTCTCAATGGGATTAAGGTCTGGGGAGTTTCCTGGCCATGGACCCAAAATGTCGATGTTTTGTTCCCCGAGCCACTTAGTTATCACTTTTGCCTCATGGCAAGGTGCTCCATCATGCTGGAAAAGGCGTTGGTCGTCACCAAACTGTTCTTGGATGGTTGGGAGAAGTTTCTCTCGGAGGATGCGTTGGTACCATTCTTTATTCAAATCAAATTATATTTGTCACATACACGTCTTTAGCAGATGTTATAGCGGGTGTAGCGAAATGCTTGTGCTTCTAGCTCCGACATTGCAGTAATATCTAACAATTTCACAACATATACCCAATACACACAAAACTAGTAAGGAATGGGTTTTAAGAATATATACATATGGCCAAGCAATGACAGAGCGGCATGGACTAAGATACAGTAGAATATTATAGAATAGAATGCAGTATATACATATGAGATGAGTAGTGCAAGATATGTAAACATTTATTAAAGTGACTAGTGTTGCATTTCTTAAGGTGGCCAGTAATTTCAATAGGCAGCAGCAGCCTCTAATGTGCTAGTGATGGCTATTTAACAGTCTGATGGCCTTGAGATAGAAGCCGTTTTTCATTCTCTCGGTCCCAGCTTTGATGCACCTGTACTGACCTCGCCTTCTGGATGATAGCGGGGTGAACAGGCAGTGGCTCGGGTGGTTGATGTCCTTGATGATCTTTTTGTCCTTCCTGTGACATCGGGTATTGTATGTGTCTTGGAGGGCGGGTAGTTTGACCCCGGTAATGCGTTCGGCAGACCGCACCACCCTCTGGAGAGCCCTGCGGTTGTGGGCGGTGCAGTTGCCGTACCAGGCGGTGATACAGCCCGACAGGATGCTCTCAATTGTGATCTTAGGCAAAATTGTGAGTGAGCCCACTCCCTTGGCTGAGAAGCAACCCCACACATGAATGGTCTCAGGATGCTTTACTGTTGGCATGACACAGGACTGATGGTAGCGCTCACCTTGTCTTCTCTGGACAAGGTGTTTTCCGGATGCCCCAAACAATCGGAAAGGGGATTCATCAGAGAAAATGACTTTTCCCCAGTCCTCAGCATTCTAATCCCTGTACCTTTTGCTGAATATCAGTCTGTCCCTGATGTTTTTCCTAGAGAGAAGTGGCTTCTTTGCTGCCCTTCTTGACACCAGGCCATCCTCCAAAAGTCTTCGCCTCACTGTGCGTGCAGATGCACTCACACCTGCCTGCTGCCATTCCTGAGCAAGCTCTGCACTGGTGGTGCCCCGATCCCGCAGCTGAATCAACTTTAGGAGACGGTCCTGGCGCTTGCTGGACTTTCTTGGGCGCCCTGACGCCTTCTTCACAACAATTTAACCTCTCCTTGAAGTTCTTGATGATCTGATAAATGGTTGATTTAGGTGCAATTTTACTAGCAGCAATATCCTTGCCTGTGAAGCCCTTTTTGTGCAAAGCAATGATGACGGCACGTCATGGTTAACAGAGGAAGAACAATGATTTCAAGCACCACCCTCCTTTTAAAGCTTCCAGTCTGTTATTCTAACTCAATCAGCATGACAGAGTGATCTCCAGCCTTGTCCTCGTCAACACTCTGACCTGTGTTAACGAGATAATCACTGACATGATGGCAGCTGGTCCTTTTGTGGCAGGGCTGAAACGCAGTGGAAATGTTTTTTTGGGATGAAGTTCATTTTCATGGTAAAGAGGGACTTTGCAATTAATTGCAATTAATCTGATCACTCTTCATGACATTCTGGAGTATATGCAAATTTACATCATAAACTGAGGCAGCAGACTTTGTGAAAATTTGTATTTGTGTGATTCTCAAAACCTTTGACCATAACTGTAGGTTGAATGTGATAGTCTGCCTATAACCAGCCCTTTGTAGGCCTAGAAGTCCATTCCTATTCTATTCAGAGTAGAGAAATGAATCAAATTGGAAATTAGCTATTATCAGGCTGGTTAATACGATGCATGTCTGTTGAATTTGGAAAAATCCACTCGCACTTGGCCCCGCCCCACCTACTCAGGCCAATCCTATAAATATCACATGTTGGTGCTCATGGAAATGACCCCTAGCTTCGACTCCAATGTCTATGGCATGACAACGATAGAGGAGTTGACTAAAGCATACTGATCAGGTACCAAGCTAAGACGGGCCTAAATAAATAATTTGACCAGAGGTATACTCTTACACCTTATTCAGCTGACCTCTACTTCTTGCATCACTAATTGTGCACTTCTTCCTCTTCTTCTCTCAGGCTCGGATCAAGTTCCCCATCGACTATCCCTACTCTCCTCCGGCCTTCCGCTTCCTCACCAAGATGTGGCACCCCAACATCTACGAGGTAAGAGAAAGAACAACACTCACCCTATCTGTCATTACACAATCACCTCTTTTTATGTCTTGTCCCCTACATAATAGTCCAACGTCCTTTAGTCTCTGAATAGCTTTAACTTGTTATCTTCTATTATAAATACTTTCAGACTCTGTTGCTATCATATACTTTGACGGTGGCCTAGGTAGTGTATGTATAGATCAGGGGTGTCAAACTCATTTCACTCATTCCAATTTGTGTCCAATTAAGACCTAGACAACCAGGTGAGGGGAGTTCCTTCACCTTCATTGATCAATACAAATTGCCTGGCTGGGCTGATGAGACAGTAGGCTTTTGAACGATTTAGCAGGTGGTAATTTGTGGAATAGACACCGGCTGGAATGCAGTTTTAACCAATCAGCATTCAGGATTACACCCACCAGTTGTATTATGTACACTGCTCAAAAAAATAAAGGGAACACTAAAATAACACATCCTAGATCTGAATGAATGAAATAATCTTATTAAATACTTTTTTCTTTACATAGTTGAATGTGCTGACAACAAAATCACACAAAAATTATCAATGGAAATCAAATGTATCAACCCATGGAGGTCTGGATTTGGAGTCACCCTCAAAATTAAAGTGGAAAACCACACTACAGGCTGATCCAACTTTGATGTAATGTCCTTAAAACAAGTCAAAATGAGGCTCAGTAGTGTGTGTGGCCTCCATGTGCCTGTATGACCTCCCTACAACGCCTGGGCATGCTCCTGATGAGGTGGCGGATGGTCTCCTGAGGGATCTCCTCCCAGACCTGGACTAAAGCATCCGCCAACTCCTGGACAGTCTGTGGTGCAACGTGGCGTTGGTGGATGGAGCGAGACATGATGTCCCAGATGTGCTCAATTGGATTCAGGTCTGGGGAACGGGCGGGCCAGTCCATAGCATCAATGCCTTCCTCTTGCAGGAACTGCTGACACACTCCAGCCACATGAGGTCTAGCATTGTCTTGCATTAGGAGGAACCCAGGGCCAACCGCACCAGCATATGGTCTCACAAGGGGTCTGAGGATCTCATCTCGGTACCTAATGGCAGTCAGGCTACCTCTGGCGAGCACATGGAGGGCTGTGCGGCCCCCCAAAGAAATGCCACCCCACACCATGACTGACCCACCGCCAAACCGGTCATGCTGGAGGATGTTGCAGGCAGCAGAACGTTCTCCACGGCGTCTCCAGACTCTGTCACGTCTGTCACATGTGCTCAGTGTGAACCTGCTTTCATCTGTGAAGAGCACAGGGCGCCAGTGGGGTAATTTGCCAATCTTGGTGTTCTCTGGCAAATGCCAAACGTCCTGCACGGTGTTGGGCTGTAAGCACAACCCCCACCTGTGGACGTCAGGCCCTCATACCACCCTCATGGAGTCTGTTTCTGACCGTTTGAGCAGACACATGCACATTTGTGGCCTGCTGGAGGTCATTTTGCAGGGCTCTGGCAGTGTTCCTCCTGCTCCTCCTTGCACAAAGGCGGAGGTAGCAGTCCTGCTGCTGGGTTGTTGCCCTCCTACGGCTTCCTCCACGTCTCCTGATGTACTGGCCTGTCTCCTGGTAGCGCCTCCATGCTCTGGACACTACGCTGACAGACACAGCAAATACCTGAGCCACTTGTGTGGGTTGTAGACTCCGTCTCATGCTACCACTAGAGTGAAAGCACCGCCAGCATTCAAAAGTGACCAAAACATCAGCCAGGAAGCATAGGAACTGAGAAGTGGTCTGTGGTCACCACCTGCAAAACCAGTCCTTTATTGGGGGTGTCTTGCTAATTGCCTATAATTTCCACCTGTTGTCTATTCCATTTGCACAACAGCATGTGCAATTTATTGTCAATCAGTGTTGCTTCCTAAGTGGACAGTTTGATTTCACAGAAGTGTGATTGACCTGGAGTTACATTGTGTTGTTTAAGTGTTCCCTTTATTTTTTTGAGCAGTGTATAACAATCACACTTAAGACTTTTTAAGGAGGACTTAAATCAAGAAAAACAACGGGAACATAGTAGGTGATTTGTCAATTAAATAATATGGATTTCATAAAACCAACACAAACCCTATCTTCAACACAAATAATGTGCTTCAGAAATAAAAGTATAACAAAATAATAACCCCCACAAAAACTATAATTTAAATGCATAATTTTAGCAAACACACCCAAATATTCAATAACCATTGCAATGACCCAATAACCTTATTAACGTTTTGTTTTGGTTAAGCTCAAGTTCAGCTATAAAAGCCTATTGGGGCTCGCCCAACCAGGAAATGATTAATTTATGTCTGTTATTTATTTTCCCTTTTTGATACCCCTTAGTTCCTTCATTTCAGTTAATAGTCTTTGCGGATTTAAATCTTATTTCCCCCCAGAAAGCAAAAAGATGAATGATCACAAAAACAATGAGGAAAAAAGGACGGATATCACCGGAGTTTAGAAGGCATGTCCACTCTCATTAAACTTTCTCCGTGATCCGTTTACTTAATCCCAAACAAGGAAATAATCAGGAATGTCAGGAACACGTTCCCAGTGTCAAACAATACATCCCAACAAAGGAAGGCACAGACTGTGTTTAGCAGGCTGCAGTTCTCATCTCGCAATTTGTAACTGGCGCCTCTGCAATTTACCCGGTGTCTTCGTCTCCCAGGTAGGCTATGGAAAAACACACCTCCCCTCTCTGTTGCTCACTTCCTCATTCATACAGTGGGGAAAAAAAGTATTTAGTCAGCCACCAATTGTGCAAGTTCTCCCACTTAAAAAGATGAGAGAGGCCTGTAATTTTCATCATAGGTACACGTCAACTATGACAGACAAAATGAGAAAAATAAATACAGAAAATCACATTGTAGGATTTTTTATGAATTTATTTGCAAATTATGGTGGAAAATAAGTATTTGGTCAATAACAAAAGTTTCTCAATACTTTGTTATATACCCTTTGTTGGCAATGACACAGGTCAAACGTTTTCTGTAAGTCTTCACAAGGTTTTCACACACTGTTGCTGGTATTTTGGCCCATTCCTCCATGCAGATCTCCTCTAGAGCAGTGATGTTTTGGGGCTGTCGCTGGGCAACACGGACTTTCAACTCCCTCCAAAGATTTTCTATGGGGTTGAGATCTGGAGACTGGCTAGGCCACTCCAGGACCTTGAAATGCTTCTTACGAAGCCACTCCTTCGTTGCCCGGGCGGTGTGTTTGGGATCATTGTCATGCTGAAAGACCCAGTCACGTTTCATCTTCAATGCCCTTGCTGATGGAAGGAGGTTTTCACTCAAAATCTCACGATACATGGCCCCATTCATTCTTTCCTTTACACGGATCAGTCGTCCTGGTCCCTTTGCAGAAAAACAGCCCCAAAGCATGATGTTTCCACCCCCATGCTTCACAGTAGGTATGGTGTTCTTTGGGTGCAACTCAGAATTCTTTGTCCTCCAAACACGACGAGTTGAGTTTTTACCAAAAAGTTCTATTTTGGTTTCATCTGACCATATGACGTTCTCCCAATCCTCTTCTGGATCATCCAAATGCACTCTAGCAAACTTCAGACGGGCCTGGACATGTACTGGCTTAAGCAGGGGGACACGTCTGGCACTGCAGGATTTGAGTCCCTGGCGGCGTAGTGTGTTACTGATGGTAGGCTTTGTTACTTTGGTCCCAGCTCTCTGCAGGTCATTCACTAGGTCCCACAGTGTGGTTCTGGGATTTTTGCTCACCGTTCTTTTGATCATTTTGACCCCACGGGGTGAGATCTTGCGTGGAGCCCCAGATCGAGGGAGATTATCAGTGGTCTTGTATGTCTTCCATTTCCTAATAATTGTTCCCACAGTTGATTTCTTCAAACCAAGCTGCTTACCTATTGCAGATTCAGTCTTCCCAGCCTGGTGCAGGTCTACAATTTTGTTTCTGGTGTCCTTTGACAGCTCTTTGGTCTTGGCCATAGTGGAGTTTGGAGTGTGACTGTTTGAGGTTGTGGACAGGTGTCTTTTATACTGATAACAAGTTCAAACAGGTGCCATTAATACAGGTAACGAGTGGAGGACAGAGGAGCCTCTTAAAGAAGAAGTTACAGGTCTGTGAGAGCCAGAAATCTTGCTTGTTTGTAGGTGACCAAATACTTATTTTCCACCATAATTTGCAAATAAATTCATAAAAAATCCTACAATGTGATTTTCTGGATTTTTCTTTCTCAATTTGTCTGTCATAGTTGACGTGTACCTATGATGAAAATTACAGGCCTCATCTTTTTAAGTGGGAGAACTTGCACAATTGGTGGCTGACTAAATACTTTTTTTCCCCACTGTACCTTTGTCGGCTGCCCTTCTTAAAGCGGTAGCGCTATTTTTAGGCCACAATCTCTATCGTCCATACAGAATGGAATTATTTTAACATATGACAGAGAATTATTGCCGGACCGGACCACTTCGGCGCATGCTTGGACGAGAAATAGTCAGATGTTTTAGGAAGTGGATGTGCCTTACCCAGACCAAATCTCCCGACAAGAAGTGTGCATGTTCCCTACAGGCTTGTCTGGCCAGGCATATGCCCACTCTCTGTTTGACTTCTTTTGCCATTGCCTGCTTTCTCTCCAAGAGGTTGTAGGGCGGCTGGTACGGAGATGGAGCTGTTGAGATGGTAGGCTGGTACTTCAAGTTCATTCCCCACTTTGCAGATCTAGCATCCCCTCTGAACCGGCTTAAGAGAAAGGAAGTGGTCTGGAAATGGACTGACGAGTGACAGAACTGTTTTGAGCAGTTGAAGCAGGCTCTTGTTAATGCACCAGTGTTGGCTCAGCCAGACCTATTGCAGGCATTCCAAGTCCAAACGGATGCCAGTGAGGTAGGTTTGGTGCTGTCCTCACTCAACTGATGGAAGGTGGAGAAAGAGTCATTGCATATGCCTCACTTGGCATTAAAGGAGCTGAATGCAACTACTCAACATCGGAAAAGGAGTGCCTCACAGTGGTGTGGGCAATCGAAAAGGGGAGGCATTATCTTGAGGGGGTTGAGTTTGATGTATTTACTAATCACTCAGCACTTACACTTTTTTGTCCATTTAAAATAACATACAATTGATCAGAAAAACTGTGTAGACATTGTTCATGTTGTAAATGGCTATTGTAGCTGGAAATGGCTGATTTTTAATGGAATATCTACATAGGCGTACAGAGGCCCATTATCAGCAACCATCAGTCCTGTGTTCCAATGGCACGTTGTGTTTGCTAATCCAAGTTTATCATTTAAAAAGGCTAATTGATCATTAGAAAACCCTTTTGCAATTATGTTAGCACAGCTGAAAACTGTTGTGCTGATTAAAGAAGCAATAAAACTGGCCTTCTTGAGACTAGTTGAGTATCTGGAGCATCAGCAATTGTGGGTTCGATTACAGACTCAAAATGGCCAGAAACAAATAACTGTCTTCTGAAACTCGTCAGTCTATTCTTGTTCTGAGAAATGAAGTCTATTCCATGCGAGAAATTGCCAAGAAACTGAAGATCCCGTACAACGCTGTGTACTACTCCCTTCACAGAACAGCGCAAACTGGCTCTAACCAGAATAGAAAGAGGAGTGGGAGGCCCCGGTGCACAACTGAGCAAGAAGACAAATACATTAGTGTCTAGTTTGAGAAACATACGGCTCACAGGTCCTCATTAAATAGTACCCGCAAAACCCCAGTCTCAACGTCAACATTCTCACACAACTGCTCTCCTGGACATGTGATTTTCTGCCACAGGATTTTCTGCATCAGGGTGAAAGTACACCCTGTATCAAGTACCACTTCATATTGGAAATTCCTGACCCCTACAGGCACTATCAGCAAGGAAAAATCCTTCTCCTAGTCCTGGGGAGCACAGGGAGGATGCACACGTTTCACATCTGCAGGTGGCTTACCATAGGTCTTTCTTTGTCCTTTCTCATTCCCAATTTGGTTCACTTTTATCCAATACTCCTTAGTGGATCAATAAATCAATCAAATGTATTTAGAAAGCCCTTTTTACTTCAGCAGGATGTCACAAAGTGCTATACAGAAACCCAGCCTAAAACCCCAAACAGCAAGCAATGCAGATGTAGAAGCACGGTGGCTAGGAAAAACTCCCTAGAAAGGCAGAAACCTAGGAAGAAACCTAGAGAGGAACCTGGCTCTGAGGGGTGGCCAGTCCCCTTCTGGCTGTGCCATGTGGAGATAATAACAGTACATGGCCATTAAGGACAGATTTTTCTCCAAGATGTTCATAGATGACCAGCAGGGTCAAATAATAATCACAGTGGTTGTAGAGGTTGCAACAGGTCAGTACATCAGGAGTAAATGTCACTTGGCTTTTCATAGCTGGGCATTTAGAGGTTGAAATAGCAGGTGCAGTAGAGAGAGAGAGTTGAAAACAGCAGGTCTGGGACAAGGTAGCACGTCCGGTGAACAGGTCAGGGTTCCATAAACGCAGGAAGAAGAGTTTAAACTGGAGCAGCAGCACGACCAGGTAGACGGAGGACAGCAAGGAGTCATCAGGCCAGGTAGTCCTGAGGCATGGTCCTACGGCTCAGGTCCTCTGGGAGGGGAGGGAGAGAGGGAAAAATTAGAGGGAGCATACTTAAATTCACACAGGACACCGGATAAGACAGGAGAATAACACCAGTCCGACGTTACCCCCGGACAGGGCCAACCAGGCAGGATATAACCCCATCCACTTTGCCAAAGCACAGCCCCCACACCACCAGAGGGATATCAACAGACCACCAACCTACTACCCTGAGACAAGGCTGAGGATAGCCCACGAAGATCTCATCCACTGCACCAGCCCAAGGGGTCGACAAACCGGACAGGAAGATCACGTCAGTGACTCAACCCTCTCAAGTGACGCACCCCTCCTAGGGACAGCATGTAATGCACCAGAAAGCCAGTGACTCAGCCCCCGTAATAGGGTCAGAGGCAGAGAATCCCAATGGAGAGACAGGAACCGGCCAGGCAGAGACAGCAAGGGCAGTTCGTCGCTCCAGTGCCTTTCCGTTCACCTTCGCACCCCTGGGCCAGACAGCTCTCAATCATAGGACCTACTGAAGAGATGAGTCTTCAGTAAAGACTTAAAGGTTGATACCGAGTCTGCGTCTCTCACATGGATAGGCAGACCATTTCATAAAAAATGTAACTCTATAGGAGAAAGCCCTGCCTCCAGCTGTTTGCTTAGAAATTCTAGGGACGATAAGGAGGCCTGCGTCTTGTGACCGTAGCGTACATGTAGGTATGTACGGCAGGACCAAATCGGAGAGATGGGTAGGAGCAAGCCCATGTAATGCTTTGTAGATTAGCAGTAAAACCTTGAAATCAGCCCAAGCCTTAACAGGAAGCCAGTGTAGAGAGGCTAGAACTCGAGTAATATGATCACATTTTGGGGTTCTAGTCAAGATTCTAGCAGCCGTGTTTAGCACTAACTGAAGTTTATCTAGTGCTTTATCCGGGTAGCCGGAGAGTAGAGCATTGCAGTAGTCTAATCCAGAAGTGACAAACGCATGGATGAGCTTTTCTGCATCCATTTTTTTTACAAAACGTTTCAGATTTTTTCAATGTTACGAAGATGGGGAAAAAAGCTGTCCTTTAAATATTCTTGATATGTTTGTCAAAATAGAGATCAGGGTCCAGAGTAACGCAGAGGTCCTTCAGTTTTTTTTAGACGACTGTACAACCATCAAGGGCAGATACAACAGAAGATGTCTTTGTTTCTTGGGACCTAGAACTAGCATCTCTGTTTTGTCCGAGTTTAAAAGTAAACATTTTGCCACCATCCACTTCCTTATGTCTGAAACACAGGCTTCCAGGGTAGGCCATTTTGGGGCTTCACCATGTTTCATCGAAATGTACAGCTGTGTGTCGTCCGCATAGCAGTGAAAGTTAACATTGTGTTTCCAAATGACATCACCAAGAGGTAAAATATATAGTGAAAACAATAGTGGTCCTAAAACAGAACCTTGGGGAACACCGAAACGTACAATTGATTTGTCAGAGGACAAACCATCCACAGAGACAAACTAATATCTTTCCGACAGATAAGATCTAAACAAGGCAAGAACTTGTCCGTGTAGACCAATTAAGGTTTCCAATCTCTCCAAAAGAATGTGGTGATTGATGGTGTCAAAAGCAGCACTAAGGTCTAGGTGCACGAGGACAGATGCAGAGCCTTGGTCTGACACCATTAAAAGGTAATTTACCACATTCACGAGTGCAGTCACAGTGCTATGATGGTGTCTAAAACCAGACTGAAATGTTTTGTATACATTATTTGTCTTCAGGAAGGCAGTGAGCTGCTGCACAACAGCTTTTTCTAAACATTTTGAGAGGAATGGGTGATTCGATATAGGCTGAAGGTTTGGCTTTTTCAAGAGAGGCTTTATTACTGCCTCTTTTAGTGAGTTTGGTACACATCCAGTGGATAGGGAGCCATTTATTATGTTCAACATAGGAGGGCCAAGCACAGGAAGTAGCTCTTTCAGTAGTTTAGTTGGAATAGGGTCCAGTATTCAGCTTGAAGGTTTAGAGGCCATGACTATTTTCATGAACGTGTCAAGAGATATAGGATTAAAAAACTTGAGTGTCTCCATTGATCCTAGGTTCTGGCAGTTTTGTGCAGACTCAGAACAGCTGAGCTTTGGAGAAATACGCAGATTCAAAGAGGAGTCCTTAATTTGCTTTCTAATGATCATGATCTTTTCGTCGAAGAAGTTAATGAATTCATCACTGCTGAAGTGAAAGGCATCCTCTCTTGGGGAATGCTGCTTTTTAGTTAGCTTTGCGACAGTATCAAATATAAATGTTGGATTGTTCTTATTCTCCTCAATTAGGTTGGAAAAATAGGATGATCTAGCAGCAGCGAGGGCTCTTCGATATTTCACTGTACTTTATTTCCAAGCTAGTAGGAAGACTTCCAGTTTGGTGGAGCGCCATTTCCGTTCCAATTTTCTGGAAGCTTGCTTCAGGGCTCTGGTATTTTCTATATACCAGGGAGCTAGTTTCTTGTGACAAATGTTTTTTATTTTTAGGGGTGCGACTGCATATAGGGTATTACGCAAGTTTAAATTTAAATCCTTGGTTGGGGTCTGAGCAGATTATTTGTTGCGATTGCAAACGTAATAAGATGGTGGTCTGATAGTTCAGGATTATGAGGAAAAACTTTTAGAGCCACAATATTTATTCCACGGGACAAAACTAGATCCAGGGTATGACTGTGGCATTGAGTATGTCCGGAGACATGTTGGACAAAACCCACTGAGTCGACGATGGCTCCGAAAGCCTTTTGGAGTGGGTCTGTGGACTTTTTCATGTGAATATTAGTCACCAAAATTTAGAATATTATCTGCCATGACTACAAGGTCCAATTAGGAATTCAGGGAACTCAGTGGGGAGCTCTGTATACGGCCCAGGAGGCCTGTAAACAGTAGCTATAAAAAGTGATTGAGTAGGCTGCATAGATTTCATGACTAGAAGCTCAAAAGACGAAAACGCAGTCATCTTTGGGGGGGTAAATTGACATTTGCTATCGTAATTGTTAGCAACACCTCCGCCTTTGCAGGATGCGCGGGGGATATGGTCACTAGTGTAACCAGGAGGAGAGGCCTCATTTAACACAGTAAATTCATCAGGCTTAAGCTATGTTTCAGTCAGGCCAATCACATCAAGATTATGATCAGTGATTAGTTCATTGACCATAACTGGCTTGGAAGTGAGGGATCTAACATTAAGTAGCCCTATTCTGAGATGTGAGATATCACAATCTCTTTCAATAATGGCAGGACTGGAGGAGGTCTTTATTCCAGTTTGATTGCTAAGGCGAACACCGCCATGTTTAGTTTTGCTCAACCTAGATCGAGGCACAGACACGGTCCAATGGGGATAGCTGAGCTGACTACACTGACTGTGCTAGTGGCAGACTCCACTAAGCTGGCAGGCTGGCTATCTCATTGAGGAGAAAGAGCCCTGTCTATGTTGGTAGATAAGATGAGAGCACCCCCAAGCTAGGATGGAGTCCACTACTCCTCATCAGGCCAGGCTTGGTCCTGTTTGTGGGCGAGTCCCAGAAAGAGGGCCAATTATCTACAAATTCTATATTTTGGGAGGGGCAGAAAACAGTTTTCAACCAGCGATTGAGTTGTGAGACTGCTGTAGAGCTCATCACTCCCCCTAACTGGGAGGGAGCCAGAGACAATTACTCGATGCCGACACATCTTTCTAGCTAATTTATACGCTGAAGCTATGTTGCTCTTGGTGACCTCTGACTGTTTCATCCTAACATCGTTCGTGCAGACGTGGATAACAATATCCCTATGCTCTCTACACTTGCCAGTTTTTGCCTTAACCCGCACCATCTTCAGATTAGCCTTTACATTGGTAGCCATGCCCCCTGGTAAACAGTGTATGATCATTGGATGATTATTTTTAAGTCTAATATTGCGGGTAATGGAGTCGCCAATGACTAGGGTTTTCAATTTGTCAGAACTAATGGTGGGAGGCTTCGGTGGCTCAGACCCCGTAATGGTTGGAGGAGAGACCTGAGAAGGCTTGGCCTCCGACTCGTTGCTTAATGGGGAGAACCGGTTAAAAGTTTCTGTCGGCTGAATGAGCGACACCGGTTGAGCATGCCGACAGCATTTCTTTCCAGAAGCCTTGAGAAAATTGTCCGTCTGCGGGGACTGTGAGGGGATTTAAACTACTATCTGTACTTACTGGTGGCACAGACGCTGTTTCATCCTTTCCTACACTTACATTGCCCTTGCCTAACGATTGCATCTGAAATTAGATGGCATAGTGTTAATGTTACTACTTAGCTTCGGCTGGTACAGGTCCTGCAGGACCATGTCCAGGTAAAGCGTCCGGGGTGAAAAAGTTGAATGAAAAAAGTTGAGTGAGGAAAACTAAAAAATAGCTAAGACGTTGGTTAAATGAAGATTGATTAAACGGTTATTAAAAAAGTAAAAACCGTAAAGTTATGCTTTTCCACCATTGATCCAACCTTCACTAACTGCTCTACACTCATAACTGTTCCTCTGAGGCAGACCGCCACCCGAGGGTTACAGTTGTTGAGGATTTTTCTCACCAGTTCTGGTTCTGTGATGTTAGGCTTCCACTTCAGACAAAGTGCCCGGAAATCATAAGCAAAGTCCCTCAAAGACTGAGTTGGAAGTTGAACCATATCTCTTAGTTTCTTCTCTACCTCTGTTAAGTAGTCAGTTTGTTGAAATGCTGTTTGGAACGCCTCTTTGAACTTCACCCAGGTGGTGATTTTCTTCTTTTCGGCCATCCACCAGCTCCTGGCTGGTCCTTTTGAGAACATTAGATAGGGTGACATAGGTCTCACGGATAGAAAATTGTCACATTTCTCCTCAAGATGCATTCAACCACCTGTTGTTTCAGTTGCTTTATGGAATCCTTTGTGGTTCTCCATTTCCTCCATTTTTGCATTGACATAGCCTCTTAGGCTTTCCTCTCTCTTTATGGCACTCACCAATGATTTCTTAAAATCATCCTCAAGACCATTAACTGTGGTTAGTAATTTATGAAGATTATTGCTGACCAACTAAAATTTCCTCCCTCACAGTAGGCTGATTGGGTGGCTCCTCACTCTGGTCATCCCCGCTTTCCCCCTCCTCTTCATGGTCTGAGATGTACAATGAGCTGATCAATGAAGTTATTTCCCCCACAGGATTTCTCATTGTGACGAATGGACCAAAGATAGGGGTCATTTGGATAGGGACACCCGAGTGCTGTTGGTTCATGTCCTCCGGCTCAGAGCCTAGCCGTAGTTCATGAAAGGGACCACTTGGCAGAAGGGTTTGCATCTCCACCTGAGACATTTTCTCGATTTGTGCACTGTTAGATATGTGGCAGTGTCACAAATGTATTTCTGGTAACTGACCTGTTTGTGTTCCTGTAGAACGGGGACGTGTGTATCTCCATCCTGCACCCCCCAGTGGACGACCCCCAGAGTGGAGAGCTGCCCTCTGAGAGGTGGAACCCTACACAGAATGTCAGGTACTCTATGCACAACACCTCTGTCTCTCCCTCACACAATGATAATTATCTCACTCCACCTCTTCTCCCCATCTTTGATATAAGGTTGACTATTAAATGTGGAATTTATCAAACGCAAAACAAATTATGTAATATATTTTCACTTGATTCACGAACTTTTTACACACATTTCATCTTACTTTCCATTGTCTTCATTTTTTTATTTTTTTCTCTTCTTCTCTCACACTCACTCACTCTCACACAGCAGGATATATCATCACTACATTGGGTCTCCTCGGCGGCGCAGCAACTACAGTAAATAAAGATTGCCTCGCATGTCTTTGCCCAGAGAGCAATGTTATAGTGGTCTCGAGTCCGGTCTTGAGACCACATATTGAGGGTTTCGGTGTCGGATACGTTTGTACTCGGTCTTGACTCCGTGTCGGACAGTGAGGACTCATAATTTCTTCCCAAGACCAGCCGAGAGCGGAGTAAAAAACTCATAATTATCAGCTTCCATTCAGTCAGCGCATAAAACCGCTTCACCAGGCCAAATATATACACTCCTTTCTTGAAACATTAATACAGTATCTTAGCAGCCTTTATATCTATTATATACATATTTGCACAGTGGCAAACCTATAGGCATTCCGTGTGTGACAGGTTCGTTATTCTGAAAGGACAGCAACCGTAATACTAGCGCACTCATGTAGGAGAGTGCAATTTTTGTAAAACACAAAGGGCCAGTGGTGTAGTGGAGGGTATAAGCTATATACCCACTTTTTTTTTCCAGTGGGCATTGCTTATACTCACTTCTTAATCCCTACTGATGCGTATCAAAGTAGTTTAGTGGAGGTATACAATTGATCAATTACAGTGCATTTGGAAAGTATCCAGACGCCTTTACTTTTTCCACATTTTGTTACATTACAGCCTTATTCTAAAATGGATTCAATTGTTTTTTTCCCTCATCAATCTACACACAATACCCCATAATGACAAAGCGAAAATAGGTTTTTATACATTTTTGCACATTTATTACAAATAAACAGAAATACTTACGTAAGTAACCCTTTGCTATGAGACTTGAAATTGAGCTCAGGTGCATTCTGTTTCCATTGATCACCCTTGAGATGTTTCTACAACCTGATTGGAGTCCACCTGTGGTAAATTCAAATGATTGGACATGATTTTGGAAAGGCACACACCTGTCTATAGAAGGTCCCCACAGTTGACAGTGCATGTCAGAGCAAAAACCAAGCCATGAGGTCGAAGGAATTGTCTGTAGAGCTCTGAGACAGGATTGTGTCTAGGCACAGATCTGGGGAAAGGTACCAAAATATTTCTGCAGCATTGAAGGTCCCTAAGAAAACAATGGCAATCATCATTCTTAAATGGAAGTTTGGAACCACCAAGACTCTTCCTAGAGCTGGCTACCTGGCCAAACTGAGCAATCGGGGGAGAAGGGCCTTTGTCAGGGAGGTGACCAAGAACCCGATGGTCACTCTGACAGAGCTCCAGAGTTCCTCTGTGGAGATGGGAGAACCTTCCAGAAGGACAACCATCTCTGCAGCACTCCACCAATCAGGCCTTTATGGTAGAGTGGCCAGACGGAAGCCACTCCTCAGTAAAAGGCACATGACACCTGCTTGGAATTTGCCAAAAGGCATCTAAAGGACTTTCAAACCATGTGAAACAAAATTTGGTCTGATGATACCAAGATTGAACTCTTTGGCCTGAATGCCAAGCGTCACTTCTGGAGGAAACCTGGCACCATCAGTACGGTGAAGCATGGTGGTGGCAGCATCATCCTGTGGAGATGTTTTTCAGTGGCAGGGACTGGTAGAGTAGTCAGGATCGAGGGAAAGATGAACGGAGCAAAGTACAGAGAGATTCTTGATTAAAACCTGCTCCAGAGTGCTCAGGACCTCAGACTGGGGCGAGGGTTCACCTTCCAACAGGACGCAGGAGTGGCTTTGGGACCAGTCTCTGAATGTCCTTGAGTGGCCCAGCCAGATCTCGGTCTTGAACCCGATCGAACATCTCTGGAGAGACCTGAAAATAGCTGTGCAGTGACACTCCCCATCTAACCTGACATAGCTTGAGAGGATCTGCAGAGAAGAATGGGAGAAACTACCCAAGTATTGGTGTGCCAAGCTTGTAGCGTCATACCCAAGAAGACTCGAGGCTGTAATCGCTGCCAAAGGTGCTTCAACAAAGTACTGAGTAAAGGGTCTGAATACTTATGTAAATTTAATATTTCAGTTGTAATTTTTTTATAAACATGCAAAAGTTTCTACAAACCTGTTTTTGCTTTGTCATGATTGGGTATTGTGTGTAGATTTATGAGGGGGGGGGGAAACAATTTCATCCATTTTAAGGCTGTAACATAACAAAATGTGGAAAAATTAAAGGGGTCTGAATACTTTCCGAATGCACTGCATGTAGTACAATAGAGAAATGATGCACAAAGTAGCCTACAAAATCGCAAAGGAGGTGAATTATATTCACATCCGCGCCGCACACACAGACTAGTTTCAGCTGAATATAATCTGCAGGCAGCAGGAGTGTGCAGCGCTCTACTGGTTTTGGCATGGAGCAGCTCACAGAAGAATGACATCGGTAGGGTAGGAAAGACGTTTCAACTTATGATATCTACCAGTAAATGCTAACTAAGGCAACAATGGGTATGCAAACCAGGTATTTAAAAAGTTTAGTCCGAAGTGTTGGTTAGTAGGCTATTTATAATGCGCAATTGTTATCTTGAGCTGTTTGCATCAGGGGCGTAGACATGGATGGGCCTAGGTGGACTGACTCCAATTGATGTGGTTTAAGCATTGTTGTGGACTTAGACCATCACATTCTTTTCGTTTTTCTATTTTTAAAAAAGTGTGATTTTGAGAGTGAAAATCTGAAGAAAAAAAATAATAACTCATAAAACAAACATAGGAAAACAGGATTTTTATCACACAGGGTGCCTTTCCTTCGCTGGGCGGGCCGTTTGGGAGCTTTTTGGCAAAATGTGAGTATACCCACTTCTCCAGGCACCACTACACCACTGCATAGGGTCGATGGAAAGACAACAGTCACACACAGCATGATGTTCAAGGATAAGCAGTCCATAAACTCAGACATAATAAGCCAGTAGGTCCCAATCATAAGAATACAAAAACACAACCATTAAGCATTTCCCAATTGAAATGTACAACTATTACTTCCCATTACAAAACAACATTTCACGTTTAGCACACAAAGTAACCGGTGACCTAAAGTTTAAAGTGGAACTGACAGCGTTTTAACTACTTTGCAGATATGAAACAAACAGACAATCATATCAGTCAAAAAGATCTAATTCCCAGTTTGTTACAAAACCAACTTTATAATAAGTTTTAAAAATAGGTTATATTTGACTCAACGTTCCATGACATACAGTGGGGGGGGGGGAAAAGTATTTAGTCAGCCACCAATTGTGCAAGTTTTCCCACTTAAAAAGATGAGAGAGGCCTGTAATTTTTATCATAGGTACACGTCAACTATGACAGACAAATTTAGGGAAAAAAATCCAGAAAATCACATTGTAGGATTTTTAATGAATTTATTTGCAAATTATCTTGGAAAATAAGTATTTGGTCACCTACAAACAAGCAAGATTTCTGGCTCTCACAGACCTGTAACTTCTTCTTTAAGAGGCTCCTCTGTCCTCCACTCGTTACCTGTATTAATGGCACCTGTTTGAACTTGTTATCAGTATAAAAGACACCTGTCCACAACCTCAAACAGTCACACTCCAAACTCCACTATGGCCAAGACCAAAGAGCTGTCAAAGGACACCAGAAACAAAATTGTAGACCTGCACCAGGCTGGGAAGACTGAATCTGCAATAGGTAAGCAGCTTGGTTTGAAGAAATCAACTGTGGGAACAATTATTAGGAAATGGAAGACATACAAGACCACTGATAATCTCCCTCGATCTGGGGCTCCACGCAAGATCTCACCCCGTGGGGTCAAAATGATCACAAGAACGGTGAGCAAAAATCCCAGAACCACACGGGGGGACCTAGTGAATGACCTGCAGAGAGCTGGGACCAAAGTAACAAAGCCTACCATCAGTAACACACTACGCCGCCAGGGACTCAAATCCTGCAGTGCCAGATGTGTCCCCCTGCTTAAGCCAGTACATGTCCAGGCCCGTCTGAAGTTTGCTAGAGTGCATTTGGATGATCCAGAAGAGGATTGGGAGAATGTCATATGGTCAGATGAAACCAAAATAGAACTTTTTGGTAAAACTCAACTCGTCGTGTTTGGAGGACAAAGAATGCTGAGTTGCATCCAAAGAACACCATACCTACTGTGAAGCATGGGGGTGGAAACATCATGCTTTGGGGCTGTTTTTCTGCAAAGGGACCAGGTCGACTGATCCGTGCAAAGGAAAGAATGAATGGGGCCATGTATCGTGAGATTTTGAGTGAAAACCTCCTTCCATCAGCAAGGGCATTGAAGATGAAACGTGGCTGGGTCTTTCAGCATGACAATGATCCCAAACACACCGCCCGGGCAACGAAGGAGTGGCTTCGTAAGAAGCATTTCAAGGTCCTGGAGTGGCCTAGCCAGTCTCCAGATCTCAACCCCATAGAAAATCTTTGGAGGGAGTTGAAAGACCGTGTTGCCCAGCGACAGCCCCAAAACATCACTGCTCTAGAGGAGATCTGCATGGAGGAATGGGCCAAAATACCAGCAACAGTGTGTGAAAACCTTGTGAAGACTTACAGAAAACGTTTGACCTGTGTCATTGCCAACAAAGGGTATATAACAAAGTATTGAGAAACTTTTGTTATTGACCAAATACTTATTTTCCACCATAATTTGCTAATAAATTCATTAAAAATCCTACAATGTGATTTTCTGGATTTCTTTTTCTCATTTTGTCTGTCATAGTTGACGTGTACCTATGATGAAAATTACAGGCCTCTCTCATCTTTTTAAGTGGGAGAACTTGCACAATTGGTGGCTGACTAAATACTTTTTTCCCCCACTGTAGCTGCTAGGGAATGTCATGTCCATTGCAGGAGTGGGTGAGTGACTGACTTTCTCCCCTCATATCGTTTTTTGGTGGCTATACACAGCTAGAGATGCAGGTGTCATTTGGTTAGCTAGCAAGAACTTGGACGACTGTTATCTAGTTAGCCAGAGTGAATTTGTGAATGCAAGAAATATGCTATCTACTCAGATTCCAGAGCACTCTCGTCTGAGTGTGCAAGAGCGCAGAACAACTGATGAATTTACAAACGCGTAACACCTGCTGAATATTACCGGTGTCAGTAAACGTAGACAAAATAGTAATAGTTAGTCAAGAACAGTCTAGATAACATGTAAACAGCCTAACCAGCTCTGCTATTGCGAGTAAAAGTGTCAGAGTGAGGTGTTCTCTCATTTGTGTCTGTAAGTAAGTAGGTAGCTAGCTAGCAAGCAAGCTAGCCAACTTTAGCCAGTTAGCTTAGGTGCTTGGTTGGGATAAGCATGCATTGGCAGGCAAGCTGCAGAAGGACGAGGAGGCTACAATTCCCCATCGTCAGAGCAATTTTGACGGCAAACTAGCTGAAAAGGTTTTAGAGGGTTTATCTAATGTTCCTTTGTTAGATTTTAGCTCATCTTGCTCTGGCTAGCATTAGTTGTGATCTTATTGTTGTTGATGTGCATAACTGAGGGAGAGAGAGCCTACCTTTTCATGGTTGTTTGCTCAATAGGACTGTAAAGTTCCCAAATTTAAGAGGACTCCCGTGGTGTTTACATATTTGCAGAAATCCATTCAGGTGTCTTTTGTGGCTTATGGCAAATGTGTTCTAATTATGTAAAGTCACGCGGTTGCAACTGCATGTAAACACACAGTCCAGTTCAAAGTGAATGATGGCAGGCCCGTGTGGCAAATGGCTTGTTTGTATAAAGGCCTACTGTAGCTCTGATTGGCTATAGCGCACCGGTTGACTCTGGTCCTGGACAAGACATATGTTTTTATTCGGTTTTATTTACTGCAGTGTCTATTAATTGTCCAAACGAACGGCCGCTTTCCCACTCTATATTGCTGTAGAATTTTCACAAATGCCTTAGTATATGTAATTCCCTAACATTCTAAGAATTTATGAAAACGTGAAAATTACCATATCTAAGCGGTCGCTTGTCAGAAAATGTTTTTAAGTGTAATTCTTCCTGGGGGTGTATATGAACAGATTTTAATAAGATGTCATGTTGCTAAAATGCTGTCAGTTCCACTTTAAATGCGACAATGTGTCACACACAAGTTATTTTCAAAGAGATGGCTAACAACAGCAAGCGCGCTGCAATAAAAAACACAGTTCCACTCACCAGATGATGATAATTTGAAACGTAACTTCTTGTTGAAAGTTATTCTTGAAAAGGGAGAAGCTAACAAATTAGCAACAACATCCTCTTTGATAACACCTGCTGCAGCCGCTGCAAACTAGCCAACAACAAAAGCTAGCTAGCTAGACCGTGGGAAAACTACTGCTCGCTATTGCGCAGTGACCTGTTGGCTTTCAAGAAGGCAGAAGTTTCCATACGTTTTTGTAAAAACAGTCCCACCCATTAAGTCAAAATGTGAGTGGTTGATTCCACTGTCATTCAAAAATTTTGCACTAATACAGTTGAATGACAGATGCCTTTATCTAGTGTCTGATGGCTTAGCCAATGGCTGACTTAGCCAGCTAGATTTATCTCCCCATAGACAGCAAAGAAAATTCCTGATTGAATTTTTTTTTTCTCTTCCGTGTTAACCCTTTCTTTTCCAACAAAAACTGACGAGATTAAATCAGAACATCATTGAAAATAATAATATAATTATTATTATGTTATTATAATCATTATTTTATAAATCCTTAGCCCTTCTCTGAAGGTGTAGAAGGCCCATTGTTCCCCACTGTGTTTGGGTTAGTAATAATTTGTAGAGTGGCTCTATTTTCCCTCAGCATGGATTATTTCACTATTTTCAATGTCTAAAGAATGTATATGTTGTTCTGAAATATGAATACAGAAATACTGGACATTTTGAACTCTTATGGTGGTGATTTTACAAAATTACAATCATGGTCTTGAATTGGACTCGCATTTTTCTGGTCTTGAATCCATCTCACAACACTGCCAGAGTGAAAGAGTCCACGGGTGTGAAAAAGTTGGTTATGAATAGATGGTATACAGCTACGGATGGAAGTGACACAGAAATCAACATTTTCTCGGCATGCGGTTTTGTGCTTTTCGTAGCTAGAGAGTTAGGTTTGTTAGCTAGCTAGTCCCTAGGCGATGACAGTAAATGTACTTTGAACTAACTTTTACCCATTCATCTGTGAAGACAGCTAACTAGTGTTCATATGGATGTCACCGTGACATGTCAATTAACTAATGTTACTGCCCTCAGTTAGCGCGACGACAAGGCAAGCCGGTGTGAATGCTTTCCACTTGGCAGCTGTATTACGGTGTTGCCGGCGGTAGCTTGTAACGTGGCCAATTTTTTTCCCTCCCAGGATTATATTTCAAGTAGGATGGCAGCCTACACGAGAAATAACTAATATTTGTAACCACAGTGATACAGTCTACTCAATGGGGAGAGCATGAATGGCAACAAGTGGTGCGCGGGAAAGCTGTTGGTTCACCCGCATCCGCCCGCAATTGCTAATAACCCATCCGCAACCGCCTGACTATACAGTGGGGGAAAAAAGTATTTAGTCAGCCAACAATTGTGCAAGTTCTCCCACTTAAAAAGATGAGAGGCCTGTCATTTTCATCATAGGTACACGTCAACTATGACAGACAAATTGAGGAAAAAAATCCAGAAAATCACATTGTAGGATTTTTAATGAATTTATTTGCAAATTATGGTGGAAAATAAGTATTTGGTCACCTACAAACAAGCAAGATTTCTGGCTCTCACAGACCTGTAACTTCTTCTTTAAGAGGCTCCTCTGTCCTCCACTCGTTATCTGTATTAATGGCACCTGTTTGAACTTGTTATCAGTATAAAAGACACCTGTCCACAACCTCAAACAGTCACACTCCAAACTCCACTATGGCCAAGACCAAAGAGCTGTCAAAGGACACCAGAAACAAAATTGTAGACCTGCACCAGGCTGGGAAGACTGAATCTGCAATAGGTAAGCAGCTTGGTTTGAAGAAATCAACTGTGGGAGCAATTATTAGGAAATGGAAGACATACAAGACCACTGATAATCTCCCTCGATCTGGGGCTCCACGCAAGATCTCACCCCGTGGGGTCAAAATGATCACAAGAACGGTGAGCAAAAATCCCAGAACCACACGGGGGCACCTAGTGAATGACCTGCAGAGATCTGGGACCAAAGTAACAAAGCCTACCATCAGTAACACACTACGCCGCCAGGGACTCAAATCCTGCAGTGCGAGACGTTTCCCCCTGCTTAAGCCAGTACATGTCCAGGCCCGTCTGAAGTTTGCTAGAGTGCATTTGGATGATCCAGAAGAGGATTGGGAGAATGTCATATGAAACCAAAATATAACTTTTTGGTAAAAACTCAACTCGTCGTGTTTGGAGGACAAAGAATGCTGAGTTGCATCCAAAGAACACCATACCTACTGTGAAGCATGGGGGTGGAAACATCATGCTTTGGGGCTGTTTTTCTGCAAAGGGACCAGGACGACTGATCCGTGTGAAGGAAAGAATGAATGGGGCCATGTATCGTGAGATTTTGAGTGAAAACCTCCTTCCATCAGCAAGGGCATTGAAGATGAAACGTGGCTGGGTCTTTCAGCATGACAATGATCCCAAACACACCGCCCGGGCAACGAAGGAGTGGCTTCGTAAGAAGCATTTCAAGGTCCTGGAGTGGCCTAGCCAGTCTCCAGATCTCAACCCCATAGAAAATCTTTGGAGGGAGTTGAAAGTCCGTGTTGCCCAGCGACAGCCCCAAAACATCACTGCTCTAGAGGAGATCTGCATGGAGGAATGGGCCAAAATACCAGCAACAGTGTGTGAAAACCTTGTGAAGACTTACAGAAAACGTTTGACCTGTGTCATTGCCAACAAAGGGTATATAACAAAGTATTGAGAAACTTTTGTTATTGACCAAATACTTATTTTCCACCATAATTTGCAAATAAATTCATTAAAAATCCTACAATGTGATTTTCTGGAATTTTTTTCCTCATTTTGTCTGTCATAGTTGACGTGTACCTATGATGAAAATTACAGGCCTCTCTCATCTTTTTAAGTGGGAGAACTTGCACAATTGGTGGCTGACTAAATACTTTTTTTCCCCACTGTATGTGATAAAGTGAAAATCTGACGCCCGCACCCAACCCTAACCCGCTAATATAGAAAATGCACTGTAGACTACAGTCAGAGACGGCGTAAAGATTTTGACAGGGGGTGCAGGATTTTTTTGGGCATAATTTTAGATATGTTTCTGCTTATAGTTTCTGACATTTTGGTAGGCTATTTGTTAGTCAACTTGTCTATAATTAGATACATGCAGCTTCTCTTCTGTCATTAAATGTTGCACTAGAAGACTCAATAAACCCTTGCTCAACAGAATGTCATAAATCGATAGAATGAATGCTTCAATCTAGTTGACATCTGTAAAGTTTTCTGTTATCTCTTCTTCCTTCACGGAGCAAAGACATTTAGGGACTGTGGAGAAATTGCAATAAAAAAAATTTTTAATGGGAAAGTTTCAAATTACATCAGTTTGACCGGTTGTAAGGAAATCGAAAGCTGTGAAAACGAACCAACATGTTTCAAATAAGATTTCAGGTCGGCTTGGATGCATATTTTATGTGGTTGATCATTTATGATACTGATAAAGATGGCACCTGTAAAGACGGTATCTCATGTGCATTCTCTCAAGATGCTGAAATAAATAAATAAATAAATAATATTCAAATTTTTGCCTACATTTGGTGTATCATTTTACTGCAAGAAATGCTTAATTCTGCAGGAGTTAATATTAAGGCTATGTGAGAGGTTATAGACCTACAGTCAGTGTCCAGATTGCAGTTTCCATTTAACCCATCTGAACACAGGCAGGACACCCTTGATACAAGTCAGTATTCAACATCCTGAACAGTAGGCTACAGTTCCCTTTATGTGCCATAAGCCTATTTGAAGTCCCAATCTTGTGACTGTCGAATTTGTAAAGATCCTCACAATCATCAACCTCTTTTAACAGTTTACTTTTCTGGCCTTCCCTTCTCTTTATTTTAAACTCTCCATTTCACAGCCTTTTTTTCTTATTGAATTAAACTTATTAACACCACAGATACATTGTCCTTTTTGGCTCCGTGGATTACGTAAACTTTTTCTGCCCGTTCCTAAAAGCGATTGGCATGTAGGCTATTTGGCGCTCGTAGGCTACAGTTAGGCCCTAAAGCTTAGGCTTATAGCCTAAAAGAATGAAAGAAAAACCTAAATGTTACCTATTTTTTTAAGGTATTGTTTTCTCTTTATTCAACCCACCCGCCGCCCGCCATCCACCCGCTCGCCGACAGCTTGCCACCCACCCGCTCGCCACCAACCCGCTCGCCACTCACCCGCAATATAAGGGGGTGACCGTCACAGCAAGCACACTCATGCAACGCATACAAGCAACATTACACTCATCATTAGTACTTTCATCAAAAATAAACAATTGTCAGTTTTATTAACTTAAACTGTACAATTATTTCCCTTCCTCCTTCACGGTCTCCCTTTCTCTCTCTTTCTCCTTCTCCATTTCTCCTCTCTCTCCATATGTCCCTCAGGACGATCCTTCTGAGTGTCATCTCTCTGCTCAACGAGCCTAACACATCTTCCCCGGCCAACGTGGACGCCTCCGTCATGTACCGAAAGTGGAGGGACAGCAAGGGCAAAGACAGAGAGTTCGCAGAGATCATCAGGTGGGCACACACACAATCACACACACACACACACAGAATGTGGCCAGGCACAGAGGGCAACGAGATCATCAGGTAGGCGGACACATATCAAGGGTGAGAACAGAGAGTACATTCAAACCATCAGGTACACCCTGTACCACTTCCACAGCTAACCCTATATGTCTCTTCGCTGTCTCTCTTAACAGGAAACAGGTCCACGCCACCAAAGCGGATGCTGAGCGGGATGGTGTGAAGGTGCCAACCACCCTGGCAGAGTACTGCGTCCGCACCCGCGCCCCACCCCCCGACGAGGGCTCCAACCTCTTCTACGACGATTACTATGAAGATGAGGACCTGGAGGACGAAGACGAGGAAGATGGCGAGGACTGCTGCTACGACGAAGATGACTCGGGAACCGAGGAGTCCTGACGACCGGCCTCCCCACCCCTTCCTCTCCCCCCTGTCCCCACACCTCCCTTAAACTGAACTCATACTCCACCCTTCCTCTACACACCCTTACAGATCCCCCCACAGCAGTGCAGCCACACCTGCACGTTAAACTCAGATGCGTTTAAAAGCTACAGAGTTAGTTTGTCCATTTGTTTCTGGTGTTTTTATTTTCCTGTCGGTCAGTGGAGTGTTAGAGAGATAATGCTAGCTCTACAAATTATTCACATGGTTTGCTCTTCATGGCAGCGTCCCTCAATTCTCAATTACCGCTTGTTTTTTAAAGTTTTGCGTAAGGACACTGTCTCCTGTAGAGTGTCTGTTTCCAGACACCACCACATGCTTTTTCATAAGTCCAACACCACATGCTTTCATCTCATGTAATTCCTCACCAGCCACCTCAACTGCTCATTTAAAGATGGGAGTGAGGGATAGTGTCTCTGTGTTTTTTGGTGGTGGTTCATTATTGTATTCAACTGTAGTGCAGGAATGCGTTGCAGAGAGAAAATGTTGGCATTAAGTGAGTTAAACACCTCCCTCTGGCAAGTCTGTGCAACAGTGATGGCCTCGCACAGCAGCCATCTTGAATTAGATGATTTGTTTAGATTCCATCCTCAGTCAGTCACTTCCCCAAACATTTCATATGACTAGAAGTGCTCGCAACACAAGAAGCTCCATCACACAGGATTTGACACACTGACTAAATACAAACTATTTAACAGTATTTACACAACCCCACATTTATGTTGCTTCAGTAGTGTGTAAATGTTCATTCATCGTTACAACATGACTATTTGAAGCTAAGTTTTAGAGATGAAAAGTGCATTTCCCAACTGTATCGATGCTAGGGATGTGGATAGGGAGGTCAGTAGTATATTTTAGGAGTAGGTCATACAGCCATCCCACTAGCTTGTTGGGTGGTATCAGGCTCGGCATAGGGGTGTTGGGAAACACTGTCATGATTCCCATACTCCATTACAACCAAGTTGAGAATGGGTCCAGGGATCCCTTTTGGCTTCTTTTGATGTAGTCTTTTACTTCAGACTTAAGGTGTTAGCAACTATATATTTTTCCCTTACATGGACTAAGTGCTCTGATTCTCAACCTTTTGTTTTAAACACCATGTCATGGGGGTTATTCATTGGACTTATCAGTACATTTACCACCAGTTTGTTTTCAATACAGAAACATTCAGGTATTCTATTTTTTCCAATAGAGAAAAACCGATGATTACTGAACACTCATGTACTCTTTATGTCGCATTAACATCTTGAGTATGAAGCATGTACACATCAATCCAATCATCATTAATTCTTACAACTATTTTACATTCACCATATATGGCGGTTACGTTATGTGAATAACCCCCATTTTGTTTTACTGTAATGTTTGGGGAAATTGGGATTTCATTTTGTGAAGCTGCCGATTTAATCATGTAATTTCCCTCGCAATGTGCTACCTTCCTTACCATCTATACAGACTTTCTTTTTGGTGGCGGCATCAGCGAGGGACACCCGGCTGTTACCAAAATTCCTCAGGAAAACAAAACCACAAACTTTTTCACATCGGAGTGAATCTGACCACAGTCTCTCTCTCTCTGTGTGTGTGTGTGTGTGTGGACAACTGTTCTCTGCAACGCTGGTCCCCCCCAAACCTATCACCTCTGCTTTAAAGACTGTTTATAATCTTTACCTTGATATTAATATGCACATGTGGATATTTCGATGATAACTTTATGTATTTTTTTGTTTTGTTTGTATTTTCTTTTCTAATGTTTTGTACATCTATTTAAAACCTAAATAAAGATCTTTATTAGAGTTTTGAGCTGTTTCTTAGAGCAGGAGTGAATCAATGTATTCTAACAGATGAGAACTTAGTTATCTGTCCTTTTTATGGTCTATTAATATATTTTGATTGACTAATAATCATTGGAGAAGATTCTGAACTGGCTGTTATTCATTAATTCATCCATATTTTGTGTTCTCATTAGACGCTGTGGGAATGTACGACTCAGGGATAACTCTGAGGTAAGACTGTTCTTCCTCTACTCACTCTTCTTATCCTGAGTGTTGAATGTAGAGAATGAAGCCAGTGGCTCAGTTATGGAACCCTTGTGATGTCAAAGGTCAGGTGACCCCAGAGTGGATGAGGAAAGTTGAGATCTGTACCCTGCAGTCACCCTGAGAGTTAGGGTGGTGGCAACTCTGTTAATAAATCATTAAGAATACATTGTGTACTATAACTTATTTATTACATTCTCTGTTATGTGTTCTCTTACAGACATCATGGGAATGTATCACTCAGGGATAACTGAAGTAAGACTGTTTTGCTTACCATTCTCATAGGCAGTGGCGGACTTACTGTTAGGCAGAAGTGGCAATTGCCTCAGGCCTCACATCAAGGGGCTTCATGAGCTGGGCAAAAAATAATACAATAATTTATCCGCTTGAGGCCCCCCTCCCATGCTCCGATCAGAGCGGGGCTGAGAAAATAACAAGAAAGAAAGGTAATTTTTCTGATAAAATTAAATCTAAGTTAACACATTTCTTAAGTAAAAAGACAGGTGCTGCTGATAATACTGCCATTGTCGCCAAGGCAGAGGTAGAGGACATGTATCTGTAGCCCATGTATCTGATGCTGTCTGGCCAAAACGAGTATGGCATGCCAGATACAATACATTAACAAAAGTATGTGGACACATGCTTGTCGAACTTCTCATTCCAAAATCATGGGCATTAATATGGAGTTGGTCCCCCCTTTGCTGCTATAACAGCCTCCACTCTTCTGGGAAGGCTTTCCACTAGATGTTGGAACATTGCTGCAGTGACTTGCTTCCATTCAGCCACGAGCATTAGTGAGGTCGGGCACTGATGTTGGGCGATTAGGCCTGGCTCGCAGTCGGCGTTCCAATTCATCCCAAAGGTCTTCGATAGGGTTGAGGTCAGGACTCTGTGCAGGCCAGTCAAGTTCTTCCACACCAATCTCAACAAACCAATTCTGTATGGACATTGCTTTTTGCACAAGGGCATTATCATGCTGAAACAGGAAAGGTCCTTCCCCAAACTGTTGCCACAAAGTTGGAAGCACAGAATCGTCTAGAATTAAGATTTCCCTTCACTGGAACTAAGGGGCCTAGCCCAAACCATGAAAAACAGCTCCAGACCATTATTCCTCCTCCACCAAACTTTACAGATGGCACTATGCATTCCGGTAGGTAGCGTTCTCCTGGCATCCGCCAAACCCAGATTCGTCCGTCGGACTGCCAGATGGTGAAGCGTGATTCATTACTCCAGAAAACGCGTTTCCACTGCTCCAGAGTCCAATGGTGGTGCGCTTTACACTTCTCCAGCCGACACTTCGCATTGCGCATGGTGATCTTAGGCTTGTGTGAGGCTGCTCAGCCATGGAAACCCATTTCATGACGCTCCCGACGAACAGTTATTGTGCTGAAGTTGCTTCCAGAGGCAGTTTTGAACTCGGTAGCGAGTATTGCAACCGAGGACAGACAATTTTACGCGTTACGCACTTTAGCACTCGGCGGTCCTGAGCACTCGGCGGTCCTGTTTTGTGAGCTTGTGTGGCCTACCACTTCGCGGCTGAGCCTTTATTGCTCCTAGACGTTTCCACTTCACAATAACAGCACTTACAGTTGACTGGGGCAGCTCCATCAGGGCAGAAATTTGATGAACTGACTTGTTGGAAAGGTGCCATCCTATGACAGTGTCACTGAGCTCTTCAGTACGGGCCATTCTACTGCCAATGTTTGTCTATGGAGATTGCATGGCTGTGTGCTCGATGTTATACACCTGTCAGCAATGGGTGTGGCTGAAATAGCCGAATCCACTAATTTGAAGGGGTGTCCACATACTCAATACTGTCATATCCGCATGGCAAGAGAAGTCTATAGCTTAGGTCTCCACATTTCATCCCAAGTTATTAGGCCAGCATTTCATAAACTTCATTGTGGAAAAGGTGATATGTTGATCAGTGGAGGCTGCTGAGGGGAGGACGGCTCATAATAATGGCTGGAACGGAGCAAATGGAAACCATGTGTTTGATGTATTTGATACCATTCCACTGATTCCACTCCAGCCGTTACCACAAACCTGTTCTCCCCAGTTAAGGTGCCACCAACCTCCTGTGATGCTTCAGTTTGCTGCCATGTGACTGGTTTCACATGTCTCCAGAAATCATAAGGTAAAATAGATCTAAAAGAATTGTCATTTATATTTACATTCCCATTATCCAAACAGCTTACTCATTTACCTAGCACGTATCAATATCTCTTCTCAATTTGTAAATTACAGTGCATGGAGAACATTGTTATTTCTATCGGAAAAAATAAGGTAGATGTTATTCCACTTGGAACCAACAAGGAAAGTTGAAGATGAGATCCGTACCCTGCAGTTACCCTGAAAGACAGGGTGGTGGTGACCTATAGGATTTCCTGATGCTCTCATTAGCTAAGCTATTCAAACATGCCTTTGTGCTGAAAATGGTTGAGCGATAAACTGACATGGTTATTCAAACAATAGCCTTGTAAGAAGAGAACATTTATATTGGCCTGTAAATAACTCTTATGAGGTATTTTCTTTAACCTCAAGGGGGCAGCATTACATTACCTTTCACTAGAATCTAGAGTAGATAACAGTCTGGCTAGTGTCTGTTTACACATGGTTTCAATCTGCTGACCAACTGAAACTGCTTTAGATTAAACAGTAAATGTTACACAGACAACTGACCTTAACTTTCCACCACAGTCCTATCATAATTGTTGGCAGGTGGTGCTCCTTCACTTACAAAATGGCTCCACTTGCAGTAATGTGGGCAACAACACCAAAATAATGTGTACACAAATAGCAAATAGTAAACTGAAACATCAAACAGTTTCAGTTTGATTATCTGATGGTTCTATGTCATTTCCCAGGCTACCTCACCTGTTGGGCATCGAGGGAGAAGACCCCATCCTTGTCTGATTTGGA